ATTAGAATAGCCACATAAGACATCTCTTTCTTGCAGGGTCTGAATAGGATAACAGTGTAATCTCTTGTTGCTTGTGAGTACATGGATACTTGAAAATGAAAGATCCCTCATCCATTTTCTCTCCGGATCTAGTTTTCTTATATATCAAATGGGACTTCACATGATTATTTTGAAGCTTAAATATGGAAAGCATTGGGTTCCATACTTGGCTTCTCATTGGGTCTTAGGAAAAATGTTCCTTCTTTATCCCCCTTCCAAATTGAGGTCCAACTTTCCTTTCCCATGGAATGGCCATGTAAATTTAAATCAGGGTACATTATAAAAAAGAAGGATTGTGATCCTACTTTTTCCAGTCCTCACTACCCTTCAAGGCCAAGTTGAAATGCCACCTGCTGCATCCGTGCAGCATCACCCCTGGGTTCCTGCTTTCCCCTTTCCCACACATACCCGCTCCTCCAGCCGGAAGGATGACAGTGCAAAAAAGGATCTTCAGACAATCTCAGCTGCTACTTGAATTTCCTACATATCAGTACGTATCATTCTACAGTATACAAAGCTAAACAGTGTTCTAGCTTCTACTAAACCATTTTTAGAGATGAAAAATTCATTATTTTCAAAAGAGGTGTATTTATGTCAGCTTTGGACAGCCTAAATCTGTCCCTCTAAGTTTTCTACACTTGTTCTTAAGTGTGTCTGTGGTTCTCTTTAAATATATTGCACAGAAATAAATAATATTCCCAAGACACGGTGGCCATGAATAACTTCTCTTCTTCTATAACTGTATCTTGTACTAACAGGTTTTCTGAAACCACGAAGCTGTTCCCTCCTAATTGCACTGATATGCAGTTAAGACCCTGAAATCATATTTTCAAATACGTGTTGGTACTACATGACACCTCCTCTGTCTTGAGTTAATACGGCTGTTTTTGATACCTAAGATTGGTTCTCCCGATATAGAGCCACATTACATGCCTGTGGGTATGTTTGGTCTGCTTATTAAATTGTCATGAACCTAATCTGTCACTAGTGCTTCTAGATTCATTTTTCTCCTGAGTTCTTCCAAGGCACTTTATTCCTGCCTAGAACTTAGTTTGTTCTGCTTTGTGTCCTAGTTTAAATGCTTGGCTTATATCGCTATGTCCTAGGTGGGTTCCCCAGAGACAGTGCCTCTGTCTGGGGACAGGGGGGCTTCCGCTGGGCCATGCGCAGTTCCCCAGGGCGGGGGGCCGCTGTGAGTCGTTCACAGCCAACACACAGAGTTTGGATAGGGGTGCCTCGCTGGCAAAAGGGATCTGATAGGACATCAAGAGCAGCAACTACAGTCACCCCTGATTTTGTAATAAATAAATTTTTTTAATAAATAAATTTGTTTTTTTATATACAAATGGTCATAGAGGCTTTATTTACAGTAACCCCAAAGTAGAAACAACCCAAATGTTCATTGATAGGTAAATGGATAAACAAATTGTGGTACATCCATACAATGGCATGTTATGCAACAATAAAAAGGAATAAACTTTTGAGATAGACACGAAGAATAGACTTTTAAAAAATAACTGCTCAGTGAAAGGAGTCTAAGAAAAGTCCATTTGTATGATTCTACTTATGTAAAGTTCAGAAAATGCAACTAATCTATAGTGAAAGAAAACCCATGGGATGCTGCCTGGGGAATGAGAAGGGGCAGGAGCAAGTGATTACAAAGGGGCAGGGAAAACTCCTGGGGGTGATGGATCCGTTCACTGTCTCATTGTGGTGAAGGTTTGATGGGATAGACATATGTCCATACTCATCCAATTATACACTTTAAATACGTATCATTTATTGTGTGTCATTATACCTCAATAGTTGAAAAGGGGGGTGAAAGGGATGAGCTTCAGTGAAGCTGGGGACTGTCATCAGAGATCCCGTTTCTTTCTCTTTCTCCGCTGTGCCTCCTGGTCTGGAAGCAGTTTCTCCCTCACTGACAGGGGATTTCCAAACAAGAGTCCTGAGACATGGAATTCGCCATGAAAGCATAGGCTTAAGTCATGTGCCTACTTTTGAAACAGTAACCATGGCCAGGGAACAGAATATAGTGAACAGGGCCCACCTCTAGAAGTGAAGTCATAAATCTTTGTAGCTCTGATTGTTATCTTGTGAGAATCTTAGAGGTAGAATTACAGTAGGAAAAAAAAAAGTACCAACATTTTTAAGGCTTAATGTCCTGGGGGAAAAAGAAAAGCACACTTGAAAGGGTATTTGGGGAAAGTTTAATGAAGGCCTGTTCGCAAAGGTGTGAAGAGAAGTAAGGGCTAATGAAACTGCTGCGTGACTCACAACAGGAGGGATGTGGTGAGGGGACAGGGACCCTTTCCCATTTTCTAGACCAGGAGGGTGAATGCAAGAGCAGTTCTTGGAACCTGATAAGAATGAAAACTGTGAGGGAGGAGCTATGTGAGGGAGCTGTGGCCTTAGGGACACAGCCCAGTCACTTTGCGGCCCAGCGCTAACCTCTGCTCCTCCTCACCTCCCCCCAGCCAGCTAACCAGCCTTGCCCAGAGTCTGGAGGGTAAGGGAGTCTGGGTGACATGGTCCCGTCAGCAGAGATCAGCCTCCCAGGGCACAGAGCAGAATGGAGAACGGTGGATAGTGGATGGGGATCAAAGAGAATATCCAGTACAACACTCTTTGCTCAAATTTCTTCCACAGAACTACTGTTTAAAAATTTGTATTTTCCTTTTTTAAAATAGTTCTGGGAGGTGATTTATGAGGGACTGTCATGGCCTGCTAAGAAACAGCCTCCTGACCTAACCTGCCCTTATATTGTTTGCCAAATATGTTTGATGTTACACTCCTCCAAACGACTGAAGTTCTCTGAAAGGCAGGGCAGCCGGGCATCTGGCAGTGCACATGGGGAATGGCTTTTTAAAGGAATGCCAGCTCCAAAGTCAAAAGAAAGCCCAGATGACCTCTTTCTCTAGGTTTCCTCCTGTTACCGAATGTGGACCAGGTAGAGGGGGAAGGGTGCCCAAATGCTATTACCAGAACAATGGCCCCTTTTCCCTGGGGTTCCTCTGTTCTAGGTCCTTTGCCCGCCACCCTTAAAAATTATGGCTCTCAATGGCAGAGTTTGGTGAAAAGGAAAGGAAGTATTTATTCAAAAGTTATACAGATTTTGATTAATGGCTAAATGTCACTGTTAAATCCCAAAATCCCTTTAAAATACCCACCAACACACACAGTCCTGCCTTCCCCTCTTTGCCCAGTCAGGCCAGTCAGGGGCACCGTCCTTCAGAAGAAAAAGAACAGAAGTCCGGGGCTCAGCTAGACAGGCCTCTCGCTGTTCCCAGCACCATCTGCTGCATCGCCGCAATCTCCAGCTCTTAATTCAGAACAAAGTGGCACCTTCTCACAGCCCACTACCAAGAGTCCTCTCTCCCCTTTCCTTCCCACGTGGTCTTCACATTTTTCCTTCGCGGCGTGGAGCACACCACCTCCGAGCTCTCGTGAGTACACGCTGTAACCTGTGGAAGCCGCCTGCATGGCTGCTACATCTTGCTTTCCTGCTTCTAAGCTACATGGTCAAGGGAGCCCCCACTCTGCTCCCAAAACCATGTAGTCAAAAGCCTCTAGTATGGCTGCCACACCTGGGTCCCAATCCTGGGAATCTTCCCCCGCAACCTATCTCCTACTCCTTCCGCAAGCGTGCAACCGGGGGAGCTGCCTGCCCAGTTGACAAATTTGTAATTCTTGAGTATGGCGACTACGTGTTTTCTGTCTCTGCAGTTTTTATCAGCCTAGCTCTGGGTCTTGCACAGTGAAGGCTGTGGAACTGAGTCATCTAAGATCTAGAGGAAATGTGCCCTAGCCTATACCCATTCAAATCCACTGCCATTTATCATAACAGATACCTGTAAGGGACTTAGCCAAGACCTCCCCAAGCAGAGGGAACCACACCGTGAGTAATACAAGGAAGTTTGTATCGAGAATTTAGTTGCCCTGTCAACTTAGAAGGTATTGAAGGATCAAATGCTTAAATTCAGAATAGGCAAGTAACATCTTAAGACCAAGAAAAGTTCAAAAAGCAGAATTTCAGCCTGTTTAACTCTTGAACTATTTTTGATTCTTTGAATTGTATAAAGAAATCTATGCATATGACTACATATGAAAATGGTATAAAAGCGTAATAAATGAATAGTAAAGGTCTACTTCTCCAGCATCCTCACTTTTACTTCCACTCCCCAGAGCTAACTACTACTAACATTTTGCTGTGTTTCTATCCAGAAATAGTTGTAGGTATAAAACCATATATATATATACATATATATATTTGTGATTTTATATGAAAAAGATTATGATATAGGTTCTGCTCTCTACTTTTTTAAATCTGATAATAGATCTTACAGGTCTTTCTATATCAACACACAGGCTTTTCCTATAGATGTCTTCCAATTCACTTAATCTGTCCTTTTTAGTGGACACTTAAGTTGTCCCTCATTTTCACCTCTTAATATAATATTTTTGCCTTACAAAATATGTGTTCTTCTGTGCATTTCTTTGCATATATGTTCTTAACGCTACTAACTTGAAAAGCCTGTTGTTGTTTCTCAGCGGAAAAATGAGGGCATGGGGAGCGAATGCGATGACCAGGTTCCCTACGTCTATATTGAATAATTGCGTGTTTTTAGCCTGTTATGCATTTTTGTTTCCTGCCCATTTGTTTTTCAGCCTCTTTCCCAGAATGCAACTTATAGGCAAAAAAGATAAAAGTTGTCCTAGTTAAAAAAAGCTGAAAGTTCAGGCCATCATAATAGCAATTTCGAAAAACCAGGTTGGTATATAATTTAAATGACAGGGCACCTATTATGAAAGGAGCAGAAGTTCTGACTCTTGTTCAGAATTTAAGAGGTTCAATATTAAGATCTTGTCTAATGCAAGTTTCAAAAACGCAATCAGATTTTCCAGGAATTCAGCCCTGATGTAGTTAAAAGAGCTTCCCTTTTTTTTTTTTTCCCTTGCAGTGAAGTACATGCGAGAAGCTACACCCTACGTGAAGAAAGGCTCCCCAGTATCCGAGATTGGGTGGGAAACACCGCCGCCTGAGTCCCCTCGGTTAGGGGGCGGCTCCTCAGACGCGCTGTCATCATCGACATCGCAGCCCTTCTCCTTCCACAGAGACCGGAAGAGCATCCCCCTCAAGATGTGCTACGTCACTCGGAGCTTGGCCCTGGCTGACCCTGAGAACAGGTAAAGAGGCCCGAAGCTCTGCGTGGCTCCGCGGCTCTTCCACCTCTGAGGTCTCGAGGGGGCCCTTGCGGGGGCGGTCCCCATGTTCTGCGAACGCCCAGTGGTTTCCATAGAACATCCTGAAAGGGCAGTGCTGAGATATTGTGTGTCCAAGCCAGGCTCCCTCCCTCTCATCGTCCATCCTTCTTCCTCCTGTCTCCTGTCCTCACAAAGAGCCTGCATGTACAATGAGTCCTGGTTCTGGAAAGGGATGAAAAACTGGAGTTGAAATCCTAAGTGTCTTCCCTGGGCCTCTGCCATGGTCAATTTATGGGACTTTGGGCAAGTTTCTCAAACTGCTAGATTTCCCTTTTGTCACCTGTAAAATGGGGATAATCAAATTAGATACCTCATTGGGTCGGGAGGATTAGCGGAGGAAATGTATGTGAAGAGCTTAGCACAGGAAAACCTTCCAGGAATGTAAGCTGAATCATTCACCATCAGTGGTTGTTAATAATAAGCAAATCAGCCCCTCTGGGCCTCAACTATGTATTTGGAGAGTCAGATGAAGGATAAAGCTGTTTTTACGCTAAACCTCTGTTTGAGCTCTTGAGAGAAAGAAGTGGCTCTGACCCAAGCTTGGGGTGCTTTTCCCAAAGTCTGTACGTGACTTCTCAAGCCACAGGACAGATAGATCACCCAGTCCGTGGAAATTATAAGGATTCCAGCCAAGACAAGCAAATATTTAACTCATCAGAACAGAAAACATACATCTGGGTGGAAAATAAGAGATAACGTAGAGGAGAGAGAGAGAGAGAGAGAGAGAGGGAGGGAGAGAGAGAGAGAGAGGAAGTGAGTCAGCAAGGGGGGAATCCTGGTGACCTTTGTGTCCACATTCAAAAGCCAAAAATAGAAACAACCGCTGGCCCTTATTTCGAACATGTGCAGGACAGCTGCCGCCCACCCCAGTCGGAAGTATTTGGCTAGGTGCAGCGTCGATGGGGAAAAGCCAGTGGGAATGGGGGCAGGGCGAAAGATGCCTCCTTGGCTCAGTGCTCAGTGCTTTTTTTGTTCTCTTCCTAATAAGCTCAGTCGAAGGAAGCTGCTAGCCTTTCTGACTCCAGCCAGCTGTGGGGTCCACCTCACTGCCCCGGCCGGCCCCTCCTATGTCAGTTCCATCTACACAGGGGTCAGAGATCAGCAGTTGTAAGAGAGAGCCAGTGGGTATCAGCAAAAGATGCATCAGAGCAAGCCGACTAGAAGGAGGCAGAGTCCACAGATGATGCGCTCCCATCTGCTCTCTGGTTTGTATCCCCTCAATATCTGCCCCTTTCCTGAGTGTACCGTTGATGTCCTGGATACTCAGAGTCTCCTCTTCCCTGGCTTCTTAGCCACCTATCAGACATGTCCTTTGTCCCAAGAGTCTGAGGTCTAAGGTTTCAGATCTGATGAATTTATAGTTTATCAAGTGTCTGTCTTGTGCTGGGCATTGTGCTAATTCCTTCAGATCCAAGACTGCAAAGTGTCAGCCTACAGGTGTACTCAGCCCACTCATATGTTTACTGGGTGGTCTGTCTAATGTTTTAAGAAATTTGAACTAGTGGTTACATTGAATAGGTAGGAATTTACATTAAGAAGCCAGGTTCCTGCTTTTCTAGAAAAATCAGAAGATCTGGTGCTATTAGGCCCACATGGCTGCAGGCAGGGCTCCATCTGCAGGAGTCTGGTAAAGGCTTCTGCTTTGACAAGGAAATGAACTCTCTTCTTCACTCCAATTGCCCTACACTTAGGTTACCTGCCTGGTCTCGTACACTTCCTGCCTAGTTCCTGCCTAGGTTCCTGCCTAGAGTTTATAATCCTGCTTAGTTCTCTAACAGCCCTCTCAGTTTCTGTCTTTGCCTCCATTTTACAGATTAAAAAACTGAGGCTCAGTGCTTCCCTAAGTTTCCAAACATCATGTAGCGAATCTATGGTATAGCTGGGCTTCAGACTCATGCCTCTGTTTACCATTACCAGAGAAAAGTGCACAGACTAGAAAACTTGGTACATTGTAGGAATGATTAATGCAATGGGGAGAAAGTTCAAGTAAATGATTTCCAGGATTCCTTCCAGCTCTGGACTGACATGTTATAACATATCTCCCAAGACATTTAATTATATTTTAAAGAATATTTTGGGAGCCATTGTGTCTCAGTTCAAATATTGAAAGTCTTTTCTGTCAAGCCAGTTGAGGGAATGTGTTTTTAAAGTTTTAGATCACTGCTCATCCAGTTCTCTGGTGAAGAGTGTATGTAGGGCCTTGCAGGTGGTGAGGGAGAGCCTGTCCCACTAGGGTGTGAGAACCACCTGGGCAGGACTGAAAAGGACAATCCCACTGAGCCAGAGGGTCTAGGAGGGGACTTCAGTCCAGGCAGACCCAAAACTTCAAAATTAACCTTTTCTAATATATACATATATCCAATCACCAAGATGTACACTTCAAATATCTTATAGTTTTGTCACTTATATCAAATGCAGTGGAAAAAAAATATTAGGTTCTTAGGTGAGTCTGGACCACAGTTGAAGAGAAAAAAAGAAAAAGAAAACAAAAATTGTACAGAACTCCAGTTACACATGGGGCAGAGTATAATGTACCAAGTCAGAAATGTGGACTCTGTTGAACACAAGACACATCAAAGCATCCAAGGCAAATGCAAAATAACAACAACAACAGAGAGCATCAGTTTTGATCTTGGTATGTGATAGGGTAAAATGCAGATTCAAATGCACAAAGCCAGACAGAAAAAGCCAGCGTTCACAAGAACATTCATCAGTTATGAATGCACACTGAATACCCTCCGCAACGACCTTTAGAAGAACCTGCAGGTGATGCAAGAAGACATAAAAACACACTGATGTTATGTAACCTAACATCCTATTCTCAGTCCAAGGACAGGGCAAGTGGGCAGAAGGTAAATAAAGATATAAGAGATCCAAACTCCATAATTAATACAGAAGATCTGGATGCATCACAAACCTTATACCCTGATAATGAAGAATACGCTTTCTTTTCAAGTCACAAAATTAACCATAGGTTAGGTCACAAAAAATGCAGTAAGTTCCATAAGATAGACATAATACAAACAACATCCTCTGATGACAGTGGAGTAAAACTTAGAAAATCCATAACAAAACCAAAACACAGAAAGGTTTTCTTCATGGTTTCATAAAAGCTCTCTATGAAGTAACTCTAGGGTCAAAGGGGAAATAGAAACTGAAATCGTAGCATTTCTAAAAAAAAAACCAGTAATCATGAAAATAATACACATATTAAATATAAAAGAGAAAGAAGGGCAAAGGAGGGAGGAGGAGGACTCTAGTCAGCTTGATTCGCGATGGAATCTTTGTTCTACCACTTGTGCGTGAATTTAAGCAAATATCTTGTTCATCCAAATAACAACCCAGGGAACCGGTACTCTAATGTCTATTTTATAGACCATGAAACTTAGTTCAGAGATGAGAGTAGAAGCAAACTGTAGACCTGGGATTCAAACCCAGGCCTGGCTGACCCCAAGCCCAGTTTCTAAGGTCGTGACACCTCAGTGCCTGTGACTTGAGCACCTGGCAGGACGGCTCACCTGAACTGTAAGCCCCACAGCCAGGATTTCACGGTCTCCTGGCAGCTAAAACCTGCGAACCAATGACTAAGGCCACACCATCATGGGCTAATCCCCTTGGTTGGGGACGCATAGCGACTTGGAGTTGTCATTAAAATCTCTAATATTCAGTTTCTCAAATAGACACAAGCGTTAAACAGCAGGCAGATCACTGCTCTTCCTGTGAAAAAGGTCGCCCAGCAGGCATGGAATCCACACGGATATGTCACTGCTAGTGGCTGTCAATGATTACAATATTTTTAAAAATAGTGTCTCTTAAATACCTCATTTTTCATATTCAGCCCTTTGTCTTCACAGCCACTGCCCTAGTCCAGGCCACATCCTCCTCCGCCCTCCATTTGGACACACTTCCTGCCAGGTGCTCTGTTCCCAGTTTGCTCCTTCCCCGGCCCCTACCACCTACTGCATGCCCCGTCAGCCAAAGGAGTATGAATCCCGCCACACTTAGCCATTTGGTCAAAATGGCGCCCTGTCACCTGTAGAAACTCCTCAGCATTGTGTAAAAAAAAGCCATGAGGTTTAGGATCTTCCCTAACTCTCCAGCAACCCTTAAACAATTTGTGCACATCCTTCACTTGCCTCCCTGACAACTTCCTGGTCACCCTTGATGCCTCGGCACAGATGTAGCACAGTCCCACTCCCACTATACCTTGTGGGTAGGTCTGTCCAGGACAGAACCCTTTATGACTTGTGATTTTTTTCCAGTTTAAGAACTACCCAGTTCTTAAAGCCATAAGACCCTTGAGTTCTGAGGCATCCCATGTGCTCATTTTAATACCCTAGCTTTTAGAACATTTTTTGATACAAAGCAGACATTCCAAAATATACGATATGTTAATTGCTAAATGGCATACCGATCTGTCCATTTTTGGTATTTTTGCTTTTTCAGCTACTTCTGTTTAAAAAATCTCCTACTAAATAGCCTTAGGAGTAAGAGAATAAATAAAAGCACAGTTCTATCCTGTCAAACTGAGCAGACTTGAAGAAACCAGGACGATCCATCAACCAAACCTGTCACTAGGTTGAAAGCTGACGGACCAATATGGGTGGTGTATGTAGCTTTTGTCACATACCACTGTACACTGTCACCATTAAATTATGGAGCTATGCACACAACCTTTCTGAAAAATCAGTGCACATCTCTATTTATGGCGCACACGTGAAAAATTCACAGAAGGCGCTCATGTGGTTTCAAACAGACGAGCTCTGTTCATCAGACTGTGATTCAGAAGGGCATGACTTGAACAGCCCAAAAGGATGCGTGGACATGCTCCCACCAAGTGCCCTCGGTGACGTCATGGGATCAGCCCCCAAGCTCCAGCCTCAGGGATCAGAAACCTGATCAGTAGTATGGTGACATGGGAT